TTAAGTGACTTGTAACACGCTGTCATGCCTTGTAACACGCTGTGATGTCTTTGTCTTTAGGCTGAAGATGTTCCTTTTGCAGTGAAAACGTCGTCAGATCTTCTAACGGAAGAATCCTATTTGTACAAACAAACAGTGATTATTCTAACTGGAGCTTTAGGTACCTTTACACTTCTGGGGCTTCTCTTTCATTATTGCTTTTATAAAAAAGCACCATCAAGACATACATCAGAATCAGGTACTAAGATTTTATAAAAAATAATATACACCGAAATGAGAAAGAGCCTTTAGTAATACATGAATACAAAGATGAAAATAATAGCGTTGATGATAACGCAGGGGCGCCCAACGAGAATATAGTTCAAAACCACTTAAACATAGCATTGTTAAACGTATTTTAGTATTTAAACGGTAGATTGAGGCATATTTTTATCCCTAAAAATTTTTCATCTGTTCGGATTTTCTAGCTGAAAGTCTAGTGATCCGAAAATTATAAGGATCAAAACTTACTTTTTCGAAAATTTCACCCAGAAAAAAGGCCCCCGAAAATTCTAGGTGACCTTTTTAGGGTAAAAATAGGTTAAAAATAGGCAGTTATACCATTTTTTAGATGTTCGGAAATCCTAGGAGAGGCAGGCAAGCAAGAAATTTTATAACAAATGTTCCGAAAATTCTAGATCTCAAATCGTCTTCCGAACAGATATTTTCCGAAAATTGTCGTTGATAACGGTGGTAGTGGTGGTGGAGGTCTCGGTTATGATGGTGTGATGATGATGACGACAAACGTTAAAGATAATGGTGCTAATTATTATGGTGCAGATGCATGATGACGACGATGATTGTTTTAGTGTTAACGATGGTGATAATAGTATATGTGAGGATAATGTAAACTAAGGCTTGAAAAACCACTGCAAAAACCGTGAACGATCAATGAAGCTCTACGTTGGATCAAACAAGATCGTGATCAGTCGAAAAAGATAAAAATAGAATTAAGGTCAAAAGGACGTCTGCAAAGACTGAGCAAACAACGTGGAAAAGACTGAGGTATACAATATTTCGACCGGCCAATACCAGTCATTAGGTTTATTACGAAAAACCACGAATACATAGAATATATACTACTGTAAATAATAACGGAAGTTACATGGTATGACGTGGTAAGGTGTGGCTGCTAAGAAAAATAAACCGAAAAAAAGATAACGATTACATAATGATTATAGCTCGTCACATTTGTTCATTCCCAGAGGCTCGATGGTTTTGGCTTTATGAATGAGGTGCGCCTCACTGCTTTCCTAAGACAGTCGCGTTCATATCTAGTGTTTCAATTGGGATAAGTAACATATGGGAAACAGAGTGGCTATTACTGAGAAAGTGTTCTGAGCTGCGGTTTGGATCAAGCAACCGGAGGGTTAAGTTTAGGGCGTCTATGTTCATTAAAACGGTCCTTGAGGTGGCGTTTTGTTTCCCCAATATATATATATTGGAGGCGGCATTGAATCATGTAGATAGCATTAAAAGTATTACAAGTAATGTGAAATTTGATTTTGTCATATGTAGTGATGAGGGGTGGGGGTGTTGACAACATTCAAGAAAATGATAATAACGTGGCGATGTTAATAGCGGTGGCGATGGTTGTGATTTTGGTCATGATAATGGTGGTGGTGAGAAAGAATGATAGTTATTATAATGATGACGATGATAGTGGTGGTGATGATGATGACGGCCAGGTAAGTGATGGTGGTGACCGGGTAATGGTAAAAGTGATGCTGATGATGCTTACGATGCTGATGATGATGAGCAGGACGAGGATCATGCAGGATGGTGATGATGATGATGAGTCTAACCCTTTTGTTCTGAATTCTTATCTCAGCAGAGGACATCGTGGTAGTAACGACAAACGGCTCCCAAATAAAACGAACTGAGCCAATATCACAACTAAAGGAGGATATTTCTGAATTTTACGAATGTTTTAAGAAAAAGTATCTGACTTTACGCCACAAACATATAAAGGAACATAAAGAGCTTAGAAGATTGAATGATGACAAATATGGAACAGGCAAGCGGCAATTTGTGTTTTTTTAATTATTATTATTATTGTAACGTCGTTCGATTATTTATTGAGACAAAAGATAGTGTATTTATAAGTAGAAAATCTTAACGGTATGTATATAACTGGGAATAGTTAAGTTCGGTTTAATTATATATAGGTTGATTTAATCGAAAGGCAAAAAAAAATTAGTGGTTTTGAATTGCGCTTGACATCAGGAAACGTTCTGAATTCAATTTTAACTGCATATATAAAATTTTTAAAAAAGCAATTCTCTGCCAGTGTATTTCCTAAGAAACGAGAGTCAATTCACGACATCTCTTAAAACTGATTACAGTGTTAAATTATACAGAGGAAGACTACCTATTTAGCAAAAAGTTTTGAACCTAGTTTGAGGATTACAAATTTCATATTAAATTAATTATTTATATTTCTTATACACTTTCTTTCCACCAGGATCCAATGTAATCAAGAGCCTAGCGGAATTTACTGCAAGTAAGTTGACTGTGCAACATTCATGAGTTTCTTGGTATAAGACCACTTTCAACTTTTTCGCACCTAACCGTTAGTTAAGTAACTTGTCCTTAGTAATTAAATAGTCACAACTCCAGTACTATTACACATGAAGCCCTTTCACTCACTTCTCTGTAAAACCAATGTTGACCAAAAACATGTTATCGTAAAATTTTTAAGACTCTATTTATGCTGATATTGCCCATCTTAATTCCCCAGCTTTTCTTTAAAAGAAACCTCTGCAAGATAAATAATTTCTAATTGCTTCCTTTTTCATGTAGGTCGCAGGGGGCAGTACCAGGTGACTAAAGATGCTGATGTTAACTCAATATTTGAAGGAATGGACCTGAGCATGTTCGACAAAAGGAACAGCAAAAGATGGCGCTTCTAGAAAGGTCCTGGGCCTAAAACCGAGTATTGTTAGCAACTCGGCCGAATCAAAACATGAAATGAAGAAATTTTTATAGATATTTATACAAAATCAAAACATTTTCCCGGCTTTAAAAACAGCAAAAAGTGAAAATGGCTTAATGAACTTTTGCATGTTACCCGTCACCGTGACGAATAAACGAGACGCAAATTTAACCTTCCTGTTTACGATCCTAAACTTCACAATAAACGTGAAAGATAAGCAGCATCAAATTGATAATCAGTAACTCTTTGATGAGGGTTTGTCGTTTGAACAAGTGAGTGTCACTAAAGTGGAGAATTGACGTTTGTACTATGAGGACAAGTTTAATCACGGAAATGGGTTTGACAGAGCCGACTTCTTTCACATCAAGGCTGAAGTAGCATGTATCAGCAGCTTCTAAATGCTTCTACATATTTTTAGTAATAAATCTTACGCAAGTTTAAGAGTGGTACTAGTATACGAAAAGCCATGAATGGTGTTTCTAACGCCTTACCTGGTAATACATTACAAACACCAGCCCCATCAGTCAGTTTTCATATGGTGGATCAGCCTGTATAATTATGGTATTCGCAGCGAAAAATATCCTTGCATGATTACCCAGAGGCAAAGACACTGCAAGATTATATCTTCAAACATGAATGTTGGTTAGATATCGTTAAAAGGGCTGTCACGAGGATGATTATATTACTGTCATATAGGTCAATTCTGTACTTTGAACTCAATACTTCCTTTAGCGACTTTTAACCTACCGTATTTCCTCGAATAATAGCCGTCCCTCAATTAATCGCCTCCCTCGAATAATCGCCCCCCTTTGACAGAAATATTTAAAATAATCGCCTCCATTCTTTCCATCCGTTGCAACAGACGTCAGGAAACTGGTTCTGATGCCTAAGAATCTGATAGTCTTCAATAACTAAAACTGGACCGGCATTATTTTTGAAATTCAATTGGTGCAAAGACAAGTTTTAACTTCTTTAAAAGATATCAAATAGGCGTGGAATAGGCGGCCGCCCCTTTAAATAAAGAGGGCAATGTCTGTTAAATTTCTCGAGTTCTAAATGCTTGAAGAACCAGGGAACACTGAACTGTAAGACCAAAGCAAAAGTAAAAGCTACCCTTTTCCCAAGGTCCGTTTCTCCATAGCCTATAAATACGAGTAGATCTGGGTGAATTAGAGAGAGTCACACAAGCCCGAGTTTGCACTGAGAGCTTACCAGAATTCTCAAAACCCCTCGATTCTTAATATCAGGATTTGCAAAAACAAGAGAACTTTCCCATTTTCTCAATTTAAAAAAAAATTTAGACAGGTTTACATTGCCAACGTCAACGCGTCTATCCCAACAAGTTTCAAAAATAACAAATCTATGGGGCAAATGTTTTCTCCACTAGCTAGCAGGAGCAAAAAAGCTTTCTGAAAAAAAATTGCATTAAAAAGACCTCTTTAATTTTAACCTTTAAGCACATTTCGGCGTTAAGAAGTTTAGCTGTCGTTTCGTGTCATGATTCTCGGTGCCCAAAAGTTATGGCCACCCAAAACCCTTGAGGCAGTTCAGCCATCCGGAATGAACGATTGGCTCTGTAGAAAACATGGGTTTCTACGAAAAGAAGGCCCTCAGATTCGAAGAGAACGCTCGATTACCGAGACTTAACGAATGCCGATCGACTTCTAAATCAAAACAAAGCGTCAGTTTCCAGGCTTTTCTACAAAAAATATACGGGCAGATTTGACCAGAAACGACAAAAGACTACTTCAAAGTGGGAAGTTCAACTTTATTAGGCAAAATTTATAACCTTTATTTAGTCGAAATGTATGTTTCCTATAGTCCATGAATGAAGTTGAACTCTTATTTTTGGAATCCTACGCTAATATTCCAGGGGCCCCAACGAAAATATAGTTCAAAACCACTTAAACGTAGCATCGTTAAAGGTATTTTAGTATTTAAACAGTAGATATAGGCACATTTTTATCTCCTAAAAATTTTTCATCTGTTCGGATTTCCTAGCTGAAAGTCTAGTGGTCCGAAAATTATAGCGTTCAAAACTTACCTTTTCGAAAATTTCAGCAAGAAAAAAGGCTACCGAAAATTCTACGTGACCTTTTTAGGGGAAAAATCTGTTAAAAATGGCCAATTATACCATTTTTTAGATGTTCGAAAATCCTAGGAGAGGCAGGCAAGCAAGAAATTTGACAACAAAGGTTCCGATAATTTTAGATCTCAATCGTCTTCCGAACAGATATTTTCCGAAAATTGACGTTGGGTGCCCCTGATATTCTCGGAGGCGGGTTATGAATCGTTTCACAATTTCGAAGAATCTCGATTTTAACCTCGATAAGGCCTGTTTCAAACGTCGTGCTACTGCCTTGCTAAACTGGCTCGACTGTAGCTAGACTGCAGCACGACACGAGCACGACTTGGTTACAAACGTCGAATAGATCGGCTGTTGTCGAAAACAAAACACAAAAATAAAGAAACGGTTTAGCAAGCTTTTAAGTGTATTCTAATGTATTTATGATATATGAATTGGGTTCGGCACGGTGGTAGCACGACGTTTGAAACAAAGTCGAGCTACTGCCGTGTAGCACGGCAAGGCTTGCACTGCTACACGGCAGCAGCACAACTTGTTTTCAAACGTCGCCCTACGGTCGTACTAAAGTCGAATTCGATCATTTAACTGAGGCAAGGCAGTAGCACGACGTTTGAAACGGACCTAACTCAGGCAGCAATAAAAATGGACCCAAGCAAGGGTAAGGCATGAAGAGATTATTATGGTCTACTGGATATTCATGAGCTCAAGTCAACTCAGTGTAATAATACAGAAGAATCAAGATAGAAAAAGACAGTAAGGAGGGAATGAATTTAAAAGCAATACTGTATCTGAAACCACAATTTAAAGGTTTTTGGTAGAATTGAGTTATAATATTCTCGTAGTAAACAATACTGATTTATATAAGGCTAACCTAAAATTAACGAGCCCCCGTTTTTTCTTAGAATCCCTTGCATAATTATAAATGTTACCACAGAAAACAACAATAGTCCTAAGAACCATTGCTTGTGCATGTCTATCACATGATTACCGACCAATCACTGCACACCAAAGACAAGCCAATATTTTTGGAGAAAGAGTGCCTCCTAACATTCGCAAAGCGTTGTTTGCTTTCATTGGCAGCTCATGCGACTGTAACAATCAACTCCACGAACACTTAGGTGAGCTATAAATTGTTTTTAAAAATCTAAATAGCAACTAGCAGTTTCCAGCTTGAGACAAATCCTTGATTTCAATATGAAAAGTTTTCAGGCGATTTCGCTCTCCTAGAGGAAAGTAGCCCCGCATGACATCATGTGCAATCGGCGTAGTGAGTCAAATTTCTAGAAACTATCTAAAGCAGAAGTATCACTTCTGTTCTTAAGATTATTTTTAGTCTGCCAAGGATTTTAATGATTGACGCGATTGCTTACGGAAACAATAAGTTTTTTAGTCAATTTTCATAGGCATCTCAATTATCGTCGACACAGCGTAAGCATATCCATAATTTACTCAGAGTAGGATCCTATTAAACAACTGAAAACAGCAGGCGAAGAAATTGCAGGATTATATTGTCAAACATGAATTGTACGTAAATATCATAAGAATAAGAGCAACACCAATCAAATTTCTCCAGTCCAAAATGTATGCAGAACTAGGAAACACTGAACTGTACTTCGAAAGCTAAGAACCGAACATGACCTCCCGAATCAGTCAGTGAACGGCTAATATAATCATACACTTTACATCACTGTGTTGCAAGGAAACGTTAACAATTATTAATAAGCAATAGAAAACTTGTTTTCGTGTCTACTTAAACTGATATGAACCCGAGACAGTGTTGGGAGAATTCGAGACAGTCCCTTAAGAGACTCTCTTCCGCAATCGATATTTGTAACGAAATCGAAGTCGCAACGATCCAGTACTTGAAACAACGATCTTAGAGATTAAAGCGACTATCGCATTGCATTCCGATTTCAAGTTTGACAAGGTTAGTCCTACAATAAAGGCAACTGGAAATATGCCAAAACGTGTGCTGCACGTTCAGGGTTGAACGTTCTGTTCGCCCCAACTCGCAAGTAGCGTTATGTTGCAAAAAAAAAATTCTTGATACGACGCATGCGATGATTTGATGGAAAACGCGCGACCAAAACGACGTCCGCAAGTACCCACACACACAGAGGCTCATAACAAACTTGAGACGAAGTCGACGGTGTGCACTGAGAACGTTCCAGAATTCTTCCACACCCTCTGGTCTTTATGTCACGCTTTCAAAACACAGGAAAATGTATACCGTTCAGTCCTTTTAATTATACCATTAAAACCTTTTTTGACACATTTTTATTAAAAACGTCAACCCGTCTACCCGAAACAGGGTCCAGAGATGACAAATCTATTTGGATTTTATTCTCCCCAAGACTAGTTTGAACACAATACTTAACCAACCGTAAACAATGCCCCCTTTTTCTTACAACCGCATGAATAAAATAATTGTTACTAGACAAAACTATAAGCTATAAATTATAGACTTATAGCAACTAGCAGTTTCCACTGACCTGAAATTGAAAAGTTATATCCATGTTTTCGCTATGATAAATTTGTAGCCAGTTTCCCTTTACCTGAATAAAGCGACTTGTGCTTTAGGGCACATCGGTGCAACTGAACTTTCTAGACCCTCAACACAAAATGAGCAGAATCTTTAATTCTGTTGGTAAAATATGTCAGTGGTCAATGGATTATGCTACATTCCTTGATAAAACGACCAGTTTTCCTTAGCGTTAAGGGTTAATTAGAAACACGAGTTCAATCAGTCATACCGTCGTCGCAGAAAAAAATATCCATGATTTCTCAGTGTAGGCGCAGCGGAAAACAGAAGGAGGAAAAATTGCACGATTATTACGTCAACTATGACTTATAGTTCGAAATCTTAAGAATAGAGCAACACCAGTTTAATT